TCTCTCATAGTGCGCGCGCTCTCTCTCTCTCTCTCTCTCTCTCTCTCTCTCTCTCTCTCTCTCTCTCTCTCTCTCTCTCGGAGTTGAGCTTTCAGCATGCTGTAGTTGCAGTCGCATTTCACCCAAGGGGTGGAGTTGTAAAGAATGCCTCACACAAACACACCCCCTCTCTGTCTCTCTATCCAACAAGTACACAATCAGCAAACAAAAAAACACTTATTATCTTCTGTCATGCATCAGAAATAGACATACATGCAATAATACACACACACACACACACACACACACACACACAAAAAATGTCTAAAGGGAAGTTACTCAAGGTGACAATATCAAAACCATACACTCCACTGAAAAAAAACCTTTTGAAATCATTTCCACTTAAAAATTGCTAGTATATTTCTCAAAATTAAAAAAAGGCAAATAACACATTGAATTAAACATGAAATTGTGAAAAAAATGTTTATATATATATACGTATAATTTAACTTATCATAACATATTTATTTGACATACCATTTTATCTAACGCATCTTACAGTGTATATACAGTGATGTGAAAAGGTTTTTGCCCCCTTCCTGTTTTTAAATTTTTTTTGCATATTTGTCACACTTAAAAGATTCAGATCATCAAACTAATTTTAATATTACACAAAGATAATGCAAGTAAATGAAAAATGCAGTTTTCAATTATGGCAAGTTGTCCAGGTCCTGAAGCTGCAAAGCAGCCCCAGATCTTCACACTACCACCACCATGTTTGACTGTTGGTATCTGTCAGGGTCTGGCGTCTGGTGTTCTCCCTCTCACCACCAGAGGTCGCCATTTCCCGTCCTCCCGGACTCCGCTTCCATTTCCTTAACTCCACACACCTGTGCACACACTCACTCACTCACACTCAGCTGTGGCCCATTCCGAGGGCTTCGGCCACTTCCAGGTTCTGGGGTTCATTCTCTGGGCATCCTGGGCTGAGACGCAGCGTGCGGTGCCCGCTCACGATGTCCCCGAAGCGGCGGTGCCCGCTCACGATGTCCCCGAAGCGGCGGTGCCCGCTCACGGTGTCCCGGAAGCGGCGGTGCTCGCTCACGGTGTCCCGGAAGCGGCGGTGCCCGCTCACGATGTTCCGGAAGCGGCGGTGCCCGCTCACGATGTTCCGGAAGCGGCGGGGCCCGCCCCCCGGGCC